AAAAATCCTCTGCCCCAGTCGGGGATCGAACCCCGGTCGTCCAGCCCGTAGCTAGTCACTATACTGACTGAGCTATCCCGGCTCATGCAAAACAGCTGTTTCTTCTTGAAGTAGCTTAACTCTCTCAGGACTTACTCCAAATATAATTGTTTCCATTTTGTACCATTTTATTTGAGCATTTTAGTTTTCATGCTTGTTCTAAGAATATAAGTTTTCCAGACAAAATCAAGAAGTAATAGAGAAATATAGCAGTGACTTAGCCAGTTTCAGTATTTGCAACCAAAAGAAAAATTCAGTCTGAAGGGCAGGTCAGTGCTTGGAAAAAAAAAAAGAAAATGAAAAGCTTAAGTTTATTTTTTAAAATCTGATTCTGAAAGGTCCTGATATTGGTTTATTATAATTACAGGATTTGTCAACTTTGTCCATCACCTTAATTTCAAAAGAACGCAATGTTTTAGAGACTGGGGTCTATATCTTAAATACTTTCCTATTCGGACAGTTTCACTTTCTATGCTAGGGTTTGTAGACTTTGGATTAAGATTAAATTTATTGTTAAATGATGTTAGCACAGAGTATTTTTGTATGAACAAACCTTGGTGAAAACCATAAAATGGTGACCGGTGGTAATGAGGGTTGTCTAGTTCATAGAAATCGTATGATAAATAGAATGTCATGTCAGGTTCTTCTTTTAGACTTTGATCATCTTCTGCCATTGCATGCAGTTCAGGTATAACCAGTGATCCAGCAGTGGCAGTTCCCACATTCAGAGAGTTTACTTGCTGAAATTTGAATCAATTAATTAATTAATTCAGATAAAATAAATTATATTTCAGAATTATTTGAAGGCATCTGTGCTGTGACTGACAGTGTTGACATTTTAAACATACCATGAATTGTACTCGGCTAGATCAATGAAGAAATATTGTTACCAGCTTAACACACATTGAATATTCCATCAACTGAATCTTACAAAATAGGCTCTCGTGAACACGGTAATGAACCTCTGGGTTCCGTAACAGGAAGGGAATTTCTTGACCAGGATGTGAACTGGAGTCAGTTGGCTCAGGATAGGGTTCTTACGAACATGGCAATAGATCTTTGGATTCCATAAAAGTCAGAGAATGTCCATACTATCTGAGGAACTATCAGTTTATCAAGAAGGTTACTGCTCTATGAAGTTAGATTCTTTTTATGAGAATTGCAGTGGGCAAAGTTGCTCCAGCATATGTGAATTTATGAAAATGTTCTTACTCTTGGTATCTGAAAACTGGAGAATGATATATTAATGCACTTTCTATGTACATAAGAGAATTATTTTATTGATAAGCTGACTGATGCTATGAAACAGATTAGCAAGAGCAATAATCATGCTTGAGGATATGAATGATGAATGCCGTAATGCGCCATACTTACCAGTCCTTCCCTCCGGGGTATTTCGTATCTCACCTCCCCAGGTGGTTCTTCATTCAGAGGGGCGCCATCATAATGAAGCACTGCAACCTGGTGAGCTTTAGTGAAGCGTTCATCACAGTCCATCAGCCCTCGGAACCTCATCCAGTAGTTGCCAACTTTATTATTTGCTTTTAGTACAAAATCAAATCTTTCTCCAGCATAGGTCACCAGAGTTTTAGCTGAGAAAACAAACAAGTCACGTGAAGCACGCACACTATGTCACTTGAGAAATTTTAGTGTCGGTGTTCTGGGGTGTAATGCTTTGTGGACGCAAAGATACATACCGACATCGGTACCTACTTACGAGGTTCGCCAACATAACATTACTGTTCACTGCAGTGAGTACTTAAAATCTCATACTTATGAATGTGGAAGAAACAAACAAATATGAATTATAGCTTGTTTGAGTTAAATATGCAGGTGCTTCATTATTTTGTCTATAGTTTCAATATATTTAGCAGATGTGTGTACTATAACAAATATAAATCCTCACTTCTCATACTTCCACAAAAATAGTATAGAACAAGAAATCATCTTCCTCAATTTTGGTGAATACTTGTATGTAGTGTGTGTGTATGTGTGCGCGTGCGCGCGTGTTTCTTTTTTTCTTCTGCCATGTTGCTCTTCACTTAGTGTCATTAGTGACAGTTACTCAAGAAAGGTTAAATGGGTTACATATGCGTTGGGTAAACAGTACATTCATACAACATTTGGTTTCGCAGAACTAGGCATAGGCATACTGCTGAAATGAATCTTGGCGAAATAAATTATGAAAATATTAAATCAATTGAACCGACTCAGGATAGGGTCTATAGCTATCTCTTGGTTGCAACAGCCAGTCAACCAACCATCAGCTGCTCAAGAGAGATTTTATGCCATGGAGTTTGTTAGTTACTTCTCGGTTATATGCTACTCAAACAACCCGTGAAAATTTGTAGAATTTGAGGTTCTCATGGTGGTAAGCATGAAGATGGCTGTTGAATGGGTTGTAGCACCATGTAGTCAGGTAGAAGTTTACCAGCATTTTAAGCTGTTCTGATAATGGAGGCAGCAGGGATCTCTGAAATGTTGATAAACTTCTACCTGACTACACGGTGTTGCAGTCCACAAGACAGCCATCTTCAAACTGTGGAAAGATGTGTGGTGTCTGAAGAGAGCAGAGCTCAAATAAAGGGAGTTACTTCCAGTGGAAGATCCAACTGCAGCGCAGTATTCCACGGATCCAACTGCAGCGCAGTATTCCACGGACTCCCAAAGAAAAAATGTAGTGTCATTCTGTGACAAAAGCTGATTGGCATTTATGTTAAAGTAGAGAGCTGCATGTGAGCATTGTGGACAAATGAACCAGAATTTTAGAAATGTTCTTAATACACGTTTGTCTGCAGAGCTTACCTTCCACTGGCCTCAGATCAGTTCCATCACTGCTGATAACTAAAAGGGTGTGGTTATCCACTGACAGCTCGATAGGGCAGTTGAGGAAGCCCGCGTTTATGAGGCGGAATCTGTAGCGGAAGCCCTGTAATTATCGCGAGAAAAAATCTGTTCAACAAATTACTTTTTACATGCTCTTTTGTTTTCTGTACAATAATATCACAGTATCAAAATGAAGTGAAAGTCTTTTGAGAGGTTTCTGCACAAATGGGACATATGTAAATCTTTGAAATTGTTCAAGTGATTTTGATAAAATGGGGTATTTAGAATCTACAGTAAAAGTTTTGTATTTTTATTCAGGCCTGAAACAAATCCTTAGTAAATGTAACTCATTACCAGACATAATTATAAATGCAAACTCAGACGGAAGAGATAATACCTGTTGAACAGTGAATGTTGAAATAGGTGAACGTGTCACATTTCTAGTGACAGAATTTACATCCTGAAATTGGTGAAAGCGGCCCCTTCCGTTAACCAGCAGGGTCTTTGGCTTATTGTTTCCATTGGCATGGTGATGTGCCAGGAACTTCTCCACTCCTAGTTTGTCATCCCAGTCCAGGACTTGCACAATGTGTTCAGAGAGATCTTTGTCATACAGCTCTCTGTGAGGATCACTGGATGATGGAACACGAATGATCAGTGCTCCAAATACTCCATCTGCCCTCTGACAACCTGTTTACAAATTGCAAATATTATATACAACTTTACGTGTTCCTTTGTATGGGTCTGAAACTTTGGATATCACGTTTAAAGAAGAACATAGACTGAAAGGTTCTGAGACTTGGGTACTAACGAGTACATTTGGACACAAGGTGGAAGAAGTAACAGAAGTGTACAACTTTGGCTTTCAGGGATGAGTTGTGTCATATGTTGAAAATTCTCAACATCAACATGGCTCATCCCTGAAACTCAAAGCTGTACATTGAACTCCAGTTGTGAAAATCAAATAACAAGAAATAAGTGAAGGGAGAAGCCTTTTTTGGACAGACTGCCATGAAAATCTGAAATCCTACTAATTGCTAGAAGGTGGAGAAAATTGCATAATGAGCATTTTTGTAATATTGTTAGGGTAATGAAAACAATGGGGACGAGATGGACTTTCTGGTCCAGTTGGAAAACACCATGACAGAAATTTGTAGACAGTTAAATTTTTCACCAACATCTAGAAGGTCAATTACATGACAGCAGCATGAACATCGTACAATAATACGGGAATGTACGCAGATAGTTTGCTTGAGTCAGCAGGTAAATATTGATGCAGTCATGCTTATTTGCATGCCATATAAATGCTGACTTGGTATATTCATCCACGCTGACACACATTTAACATAATTCATGGACAGTAAAATATCCTAGATGACAATAAAAGTTATGAAAGGAAGGTGCTCTTAAGAGAGAGGATGGCATTGCTCCTACAAGTAGCGTTTGATATAGAAGTAAAGGACATTTCATACAAACAAAACTATAAAAGCAGCAATAATTATGATGAATGTTGACACATTTTGGTCAGTAGCACACCTGCATTGTAGACAAGTAACTTCATGGAACAAAGTTTTTCTGTAGATGGTATTCGTCACTCATCTAGTAAATGAATTCCATATTTTTTATTAAACCCAGAATTCATATCATATTCATGAGAACCTGCCTCTGTCCTGTCACATAAACGCAGTCCATTTGGTCACCCCCATTTTTCTTTAAAGTCCGCTCTAATGTTGTACTTCAATCTATGCCTGAGTTTACCAAAGTGGTCTCTTCACATTAACGATTCTGACTAATATGTTATTGATAAAGTGTCATCAACCTATATCTTAGAATGCAATAAATAGAAATATATATCACTGAAGCGTGTCTCTAGCGAGGCTACTAACCGGAGCAGACGCTGAGTATTTCGACTGGCTAAAGCTGGTGCATCGGAGTCGTTGGGATGGGCACTAGTAAACTGATGGCCAAGTTCTTTTGTTCTGTTGGGGGCTCAGTATCTACGAGTACAATGAGATTCACTCACAGGGATACATATGAAGTTCCATTTGTGCCAAGGAAGTTTGTGACTGGCAACTAATTAAAAATAATGCTCAGGGCAGTATTTGGACGTAAAGGAGGTTACATGAAAAATGGAAGAATTTAAATGAGATCTCTGGATAGTACAGGATGTGACAGTCGTACAGAATTCTTGTCATTTGGCTTTTGGGCATAAGTCACATTGAATGTTGGCATTTTTCTAGTGTTTAAGTCACTGCAATGTTTGCCAAAATGTTGGAAAACTGTTAGCATTCAGTGCAGCTTATTCCAGATAGCTGAAGTCTGCAATTCCTATCATAGGAAAGTGTGGTGGGGAAACTTCTTGAAAAGTCATTTTTGGAGAGTCAGATGGATTTGGGAAGATCATATTAAAATTAATTTAGACAAGTAATGTATGACTTGGCTCAGGATACGGTGCATTGGCAAGCTTTGTGTCAGTGGTGCTGAAACTTTAGATCTACACAAATATAAATTACTTTTCTTTCATTATAAGAGTGATGTTTTGTCATTCAGATAAAAATGTTTTGCAATAAAATGAGCTGTGATATGTCAGTTAGCACAGTGACTTTATTTCCAATAGGGACGGGGAACTTTCTCTTGCCATGACGTACATGTTGCCTCTGAGGACCCCAGCCTCTCGAGATCCAGTGGGTACCAGGGGTTAAAATGGCAGATGCATGAAGCTGGCATCTCCACTCATATACTACCAAAACTGAGAGTTCGTGGAGTTATACCTCCACTCCCTGATACATTTGGTGCTTAACAGATAAAACTGACCTTATTAATAGGTTTTTTTATAAAATGTGACACCAATGTACGTACCTGAATGTGAATGCCAGAAGTGAGTGCCAGGTGTGTCTGCGATGTAGTGGTAGCGGAATGATGATTTGGGTGGGATGGGGCACTGGGTGACATACGGAACGCCATCCATGTAGGGCGTTCCACGCTGGTGATGTCCGTGCCAGTGAATACTTGTGCTCTCCTCCATCATGTGGTTTTGCAAATCCACTATGATACGGTCACCCTTGCACACCTAACGCATTAGTCAAACATTCATCAATGTTGTATGATATGTAGCTTTCATGGTGACTAAATTCAACGAAGTCTTCACAGGCAATCAGCCGTGTCAGGTGGCCATAAGCACCAGCGTTTGAAGAGCTGTCTTGGTCCTAATCGTCAGGGATGAACAGTTGGTTTTTTTAAGGCCACCTGACACAGCTGATTAGCTCTGAAGACTTACTTATTACCAGTTTGTATTAATGCTTCAAGTCTTGTTGTGTAACATATGAATCTGACGCTATCTCTCTTTGATATTAAAAGAACAGAGTGCAACATTAAGTACATGCACTTTGCATTTAAATAACACAGAATTCCAAAAATCTATGTACTTATGTAAATATAATACATTTTTTTTATTTGGTAATTCTCAGGGTGTTCTGAATTCCCCATTGCCTTAAAATGACGACATTGACATTGCATATCATGTTTCAGCTTTATGGCAGTGTACCATGTTAGGAGATAAATGTTCTCAAGCTGGTGGCAGCTTCTCTAGCACTTGCACACTTTGTGGCCTGTCATCCCAAACTTTTTTTGTATATCTAAAAAGGTTATGCAGAATTTGAGCTCACCTCAATGCTGGGACCTGGCATCTGTCTGTTGACCACGACTATAGGACGTTTCACGCCATCTGCCACAACACAGTCCTTTCGGTCGCAGTCGTCCAAACTTAGTGGACAGTTGTAGCAAGCTTTGCTCATGGTGTAGTACCACTCCAGTTCAAACTTGTACCGGCACACCATGGACGGCAAGCCCTCCTTGCACGTCCTTGCACACGGATTCTTCTCTTCATGAGATGCGTTACGTATGCCATCACTTGGGTACATTTCGGATGATGAGACATGAATCACGTCATTTGGATGGTAAGTCGGTAATGAAATTACTTGGAGTCCTTCGTCAGAAAGAGGTTTAAGATTCTTTTTAGGAAAAGAGCTTGTTGGTGGGGGACTATCGACGCTGTCAGAAACAGATGGATGCTGATTGCCATTAGGTATCATTAAGTTATCAGTTCCATTTTGAGGCTCAGAATTTGATGCCCTAAAATTATTTAGCTGTTGAAAAGAACGCGTGTTGGCCACAGCAGAATGTTGCCTTCCTTCACTCTGTGTGTTGTATGTTCCACTTCCAGACTGCGAATCAGCTGTGATCGCATCTCCTGGAAATGGACTGGCATTTTTATTGGAACTGTCACTCGTTTCATTTACTTGAGAGGTGCGTGGACTGCTGTATGAATCTGTGGCCCGAGGTACAGACATATTTTGCAGATTGACGGTCCCCTCTGTATCCAGATTTGAAATCTTTTGAATGTAGTCTCTGTGTGAGGTAGAATTGTGAACTCCCGTGTCAATCTGAGGGTCTGATGTTGAAGGTACGGTGCTCTGCTCGTAAGAGCTGGGCAGCATCGGGTAACTCACATTTCTTGTAGTCTGAGAAGGTGTTTTTGCGTTGGATTCTGAAGAGGAACTTGTGTTGGATGAGGTCTCAGGTTCGGTGATGTTAAAATCTGCCATGCCTTCACTGACATCTGAACTATATACAAAAGAAAGTTGTTTTCTGTCATTAAAATCAGACAGTGAAGAAGGAACTGACGTGCCTTCAGTAGAGTTACCGTCTTCTTGATTATTAATGGAGGTGGATGTTTTGTTAGGACTTGGTACTGGAGAATATTTAGACCTATCATGGGGCTGAATTAAAGAGGGGGTATGTAGCTTTTCTTCAGGCGGCCGGGTCAATGCGACAGAAAGATCAATCGTGTCGTTGGGAATAGTCTGGTGCGAGTCCAAGAGTGTCGTGTTGTAAATTCCTGTTAAGCGGTCTGATTGCGGAATGGAATACTTATTCATTTCACCATGCTGGACCTCCTTTCTTGTGCTGATTGTTTCTGTTTCTGCAAAAAGAAAAAAAGTATTTAATTTAATTCGCATAACTTACATATCATTTTTAGGGTAATCAGATCATGGAGGATGAGATGTGCAAGGCATGTAGCATGCATGGGGGCAATTATAAAGAGTGCAGATTGGAGAGTGTGAAGGTAGAGACCACTTGGAAGACCTAGTCTTTGAAGGGAGGATAATATTAAAATGGATCCATGGAAATAGAGTGACAGGATGTAAACTGGAGGACAGGACTGATGGTGGTCTCTCGTGATCGTGGTGATGGACCTTATGGTTTCTTGATAAGTGAATGACTATAAATCAGAATAAAAGTATAAAATATATTCGTGCAACTCAGAGTTGCTCTGCTCAAATATAAATACAGTTTTATGTCAAAAATCTAAGTTATAAATAATGGAATTCTAACCATTTGAAGCTGAAGTCAGGCCGTGGCTGAAGAGGTGAAGCAGCGTAGACAGCGTAAGTGACCATTTTAAATGACACATCTTGTGGTGGGCGACTCTCAGAGCGTCTGCATCAAAGAACACACACGTTAGAATGCGAACTGAAACCGGGTGTCTACTTTTATGTTAATGTCCTGTCTCAACCTGAGATATTCAGTGAAGGCAAACGATGGCTCATGGGTCTCCTTATTCTAGTGTGAAATATGATGACAATTAGCAAGCGAATGTTACGCTGTAACTTCTGGGTTTTGTGACTTCTCTGCAGGGCACATTCAACAGAACGTCTCACGTTTTATAGAAATCTGTCGTTTGATTGTATCGCAGTCGTAGTAATAAAATAGTCGATTGCTTTGATTACAATCAGACATTCCTAACCGCTCTGTGGGGCTCAGACATGTTTCAAACGCTGATGGTTACCAAGTTGTCCAATAAGTCGTTCAACATTTTTACATATTTGCATTTAGAAGAGCCTTCCATTGGAGTCTGTCCTGAGTCGTATTAACACAGTCCACGTCCTTTTCTTTAAGGTCAATTTTAATAACATCCTCCCACTCTGCTGCGCTCCGGTATTATCTGTGCCAAATGACATCGGTTCCAATGAGAAGATGCGAGATCAGTCACCATTTTTTATAAGGTCACGTCTCTCGGTGAAACTAAATCAGTCCCAGTGATAACTTGTGTTCGGCGAGCCGAGGGGCTGGTCCTCTCTCTGTAATGCGAATTGTCAGATAGGCTGTCAGCCATATTGGCTCACAATCCTACATCCAGCAAGTGCGACCACGTGGCTTGTGTATTAAAATTCTTTGATGTGTCCCATTTGTGTCGGATTCCAAAAGAAGAAGTTCTCACAGCAGGAAGTATTCAGATTACTGTCTTCTGGGTTGTTGCGTTATCCACTTTTATAGACGTTTACCGACGTTTCAGAGGTCGTTGCTGCCCCCATCACCAGGGCAATGAGTCAGTCACCGCTCTGATGATAGAGGCACGTAGGATTTTGAAACGTCGTAAAACTTCTACCTGACAACACGGCGCTACAACTCAGAAGTCAGTCACCTTTAATATGAAATGTCATAAAAATTCAAGCAGCAGTTCTCCAGTTAAATAACGAGTGTAAATGGACGGATGCACAGTCGCGACCAGCCCCATATACATTGAATGTGTGCACACTGTACGACGAACGCATTCGAATGCATTTAGTTAATTCTTCACGACAAACTCCGTAAGACATGGGAGTAATATTGGACAGACTCCTAGCTAATTTGGCGTCTCTCCAACAGCCTTAAGCTCATGGTCTCATGGCAGTAATTAGGTTACTGTGACCAACTCCAGATGCTGGACTCTGGAAGATTTAGAGCCTTCTGCACCACTGTTCTCGCACACTAGTTTTCTCCCTATTTGCCTTGGCTAGGAACAAGAATAATGCCCTATTTAACCGATGTTCGCTAAATTTTAACACATCATTAGCTAAACTGTTGCATTAAAATTCAACCACAAATAAGGAACAACAAAACGTCCCCCGCAAAATCTTAATTTGCTTCCGTGTATTCACAAAGAATAGCAGAAATTGGACAATAATAATAATACAAATTAGTGACATATTTTTGTACACTGTTTCCAACGGTAAAGAATCCCACCGCCTGAGAGTTTCAATCGGAACGCTGTCGCCTGTTTGTAACTTTTAAATATAGAATGTACTGTTGCCTGTGACAAGGGTGCAATGAGAGTAAAAGGAAAATTTTTCGCTCTGACAATTATATAAAAAACTTTTAGAATAATGAAAATTATGTAACAGACCCAGTGTTCAAAACAGGAAGACCAAGGTATAGATGGGAGTCGTATAGAATTTTGGTGTGGGTGATTACTATTCATCTGGCTCTTGTGAATTCGGAAATCGGCAATGAATTTATTGATCAGCTGAGGAACTGTCGGTTTCTCGAGCAGGAGTCTGCTCCGTGGAATTACTTCTTGTACGACTGTAAAGTTCTTAACCTCGACTTATCGAGACTGCAGATAAAAAATTCCTGAATTTGTTTTGAAGCCGCGTCAGACCGCGAGTTCTCGACACAAAGAAACGCTCGTAGCAATTAGCTCCAATTTAGCGTGTGATAATGCCAGTGGCCGAGTCTTGTCTAGCAGCTGGGCACTTCGTAACGTGAAATTTTCACCCCTCGGCCTTGTGATAAGAAGATTACAAGCGATCGCCCGAGCTTCGCACTGGGGAATTCTAATTCCGAGCCGAGGTCGACTGTTACTGGTTCCCGTTAGTACCTTCAGGCAGGTGTCGAGTCAAAAACCACAAATTGTGTCACAAACCCTTCCGCTTTGTTCACAAATCGTGCCCAGTCGACTGTCTGAGCCGTCGAGTCAGCTGTCTGCTGGAGAACACTTACTTGAATGGTCGGACGCGGCCAGCGGTCAGGGGTCGAGCGAGCGAGTCGGATGTTCGCTTTCAACTGAAGACCTCTGCTGCTGTCGGCCGGTGGCTGACTCCCAAGAATGGGGAACCCCACTCACTACCGACTGGCAACTTCCCCGAGGAAAATACTCCTCCGTCGCGCGTACGTCATGCCTCTGTTCGGAGGTTGCTTCATCGACGCCCGCAGGTATTAACGCATCGGGAAGTCCTGCGTTCGATTCTATAAAGTGTCTCGCAGTTTCTCTCCTGACAAATGGCGAAATGATTCCTGATGAGACGTGGACCACCAGATTTTCCGGCTTTCTTACAGAAGAAGGGAATCCGTAGGCCTGAACGAAATTAAGGTTTTGAAAACGCGGGAGATGAAAGGAATGTCTCGTTGCTGACCGCGTCCTCTATTTTAATGAATGCTGACAGTTGGCCACCTGGCCTTTGTGTTAGCTGCCGATTCACACTGTTATTTGTAGCACATTTTAATATTATACAGTGTGCACTGAACGAGTACAGCTGCACTACCCACATCAGAGCTTCTTCTGAAGAGAAAACTGTACTTAACATCATTTGACCTCTACCACGAATGTCCGACGTCATTTGTCTTTCCAGGCTGACCACGGCCTCAGGTGTACGTGCGCCAGGCTCGAAAAGAGAAGTGCGGGAATTTTCCCGTCGGTTCCCCGAAGGCCGCGTGTGGGAGGTCAGGTGAGTTTTTGAGTCAAAGGGCAAGGTCACGGGGATTCCTCCAGGGTCTGAGGCGTGGGTCTTAACTACGTGAACGCTGGGATCGTGTGGTCGAGTCCCGCTCGAGGCAGGGACAAACCTCGAAATCCCGCTGATCGAGTCCCGCTCGAGGCAGGGACAAACTGGGTCCATACGCTACGACTTTTCCTCGTTCTGTAGGTCACGGCACTGCCAAGCCTCGAAATCCCGCTGCCTTCCACCGAAAGGCGTTTTAACTGTGAATGATGGTCTTTGATGGTAAGAAATCAGTCGCCAAAAACCGAGGCTGGATTAATGTGTAGCCATGATACAAATGAAGTTGGTAATAATACTTACCATATTTTACTTCCGCTACCTGTTTCGGTTCTATTCTGCCATCATCAGGTGACAACTATTATTCCCTAACATGAATAGATGAATGAGCTTATCATCAGGAATAATTCAGAGAGGTCACGTAGAAAATACGCCACGTTTAAAAAACATTTGTGTTCTGCTTGAAAACCTTTTTTGTTCAAAAGAGAACCCTATTTCAGTTGTCTCTGCATGCAAAACACAAAACGCTTCCTAAAGAAAGAATCGAAGAATACAGAAAGGACATTTCTTTGTGTTTTCTTATCCCAAGTTTAAAAAAGTCGCTTCGCGTGTTTTGTGCCTTGATGATTGTCCACGCACTAGAAACGAAACGTGCAGCCCAAATAAAGTCGGACCATCAGGAGTGCGTATTGTCGTCTCCTCCTTGATTTGTGTCGTGATTATATTTCCTTTTTGAGAGATCGCCTAACCGTTTTCAGACAAAAGAGTTGTTGTCGAAAGAGTCTCGTAGGCTTTGCGGTGGGCTGGTCCCCCGTGAAAGGAGTCCTCCCGAATGTCTGATAGGGCTCAGCGAAGAGGAGTGACTCGGGAGGAAAAGAATAATTAGCAGGATGTGGGCAAACAATTCGGATGCTTACTGAAGAGTCCAAGGTTGTGAGGGTCTCTGGTCATTCCGTGCGTCGCTGAAGGGGCGTGGTCACCTGGTTGACGCTGCGTGCAACACGGAAGTCGTAAGAACTTGTCAAGGACGACGGTCGCATCGCCGGAGAAAGCAAGGCCGGCGAAGGGAGACGGATCTGATGGCTGTCGCGTGCCGAGGAACGTCTGTGCGTTTCATTGAATTTGGCGCTGATGGACTCTTCGTGGAACTCGGGTCTCGTTTCAAAGGTTTTCTCAATGAAAAGCTCCGAACGGCGAAAAATCTCAACCTCAGTTTTTATTCTGAACTCTCTTAGAGCCAATGCATTTTGGCGACACGTCTCTGTTGCGTGCGGCAATGTCCACTTCAGCAGCTGATGGTCGCTCAGCGTGCCATTAAACACTTCCCGCCCGCCTTTTATGGAACCCGAAGTTTCATTACCGTGTTCACAAAAGCTCGACAGTGTATCTTGTCGTCAGGTTCAGATCTTCGCACCAATCATTATATTCATTTTAATTTTTCATTCCATCTACGTCTAGGTCTACCAAGTCGTCCCTTCCCCCACGCCACGCTCAGCATCTGATGAAGAGTTCACGTTACGCGGTTTTCTCGAGCCGCCTGCGTGACAATCGCGACCCGTCATATTCGCTTTCACTCCTACGCTCGGCCGCCATGTTTGTTTTAATTGCGATTCGTTCCACTTCCTTGGCGTGGATTGGGCGCTGTAGAGCCCGTTCCGAGCTCAGAGGATTAAACTTTGCCCGCGTTCCTATTGGTTTATATGTAAGAGGTTTCCTCCATGTTCTTTTCAGTCGAAATGATTTTGTGTGTCATTTGTGGTCTTTGATCGGTTTCGTATTTCCTCGTTTGAGAATCTGTCCCTGCGGGTAATTACGTTACGTAATTGTAAATTGTGAATTTTGGAGTAACTTCCAGTGGCACGGCGCGCATTCCAGAGTCATCAGAGGACCGAACACGTGATGAAACCTGCCAATCCGTAGACGAGAGTGCAAATGCACCCACAATCTCGGCGAGGACGGACATTCCTCGTGTCTATTGCGATGATGCAGAAGCGAAATTAGCATTTGGTTCAGTGTCGCGAAAGTCGAAGGGACAAATAAGGAGCCTTTAAACAAAGGACCTTCTCCGGTCACGGCTTCTGGCTGGCGTTCGCGTCCTTTGGCCGAACTCCGAAGCGTGAACTGCCATTCAGGAGTAAAGTAAAGTCTTGGGATCTTTGTTTGTTTGTTTTGTTAGTTCGCATGACTCAGAATGATGGACGCTCTCTTATTCGCTCATTTAGCGGTAGTTAAATGACAGGATTGTTATGTACGGTGAAGCCAGAGGGCGTGACGTGCACTTTGACTACAAATTGAATGACAGATTAAAACGCTGTTAACTTTTTTGAGAAAAAGAGTTCCATGACAGGCGCGCGATTTATAAATTTCTTGTGGCTTCTAAAATGTTTAGAGACGTTTAAAATAAAGACATTGCATCAAACATTGTCTGCTTTTCTCTTCACTTGTCTTGTGTTGGCGTTTAACCTACATTGGGTAAAAAGGACTTTCTGATAAGAGGTTTTGGGGTAATGAAGGGAAAAATTTGGGGAGCAGTGTCTTAAGGGAACCGCGAAGACGCAATGAACGAGTGCCAGAGGAGATGAACTGCTTAGAGATGTTTGGGTCTGGACCGGGTTCAGCTGAAAGCCGCTCGGCCATCTTCTGTTGGGACTTTGTCTCTTTCTCGAAGGACCGAAGTGTCTATGTTCGTGTTTAGGAAGACGTCAGGCCACTCCGAGCGGGGAATGCGATTCGCAAACAGCCGGTGGTGGACTCAATTCATTAAGTTAATTAATTAATGAGGACCTTAGTTTGGGGTTCAGCCCGAGAGACCGACTATTTGCTTTCAACTCAGTGGCAATGTTGCGTAACACGGC